ACTGCAGAATTGTCACCATTTTATCGTGAGAATTCAAACAAATTAGAAAATATCCAAATATTATTGGAACAAATAAAAAATATATTGCAATATAATTGTATAAATTTTTAAAAATTAATATTATTAAGAAAAACTATTAAAACACATTCTTTATAAAAAAAACAATTGTGAAAAATAGAAGAAATTTTTTTTTAGGGTTGATATAGTTGTAATAATAAAAGAGTTTATAAAATTTAACAAATGAGACAAATAAATATCTAAAATTAAAATCAATTGAAAATCAGTAGAAAAATAATTTTACATAAAAGTCCAAAAAGAGAATGATCTAAAAAAGTTAAATTTAATGTTGTAAACCCTAAACCCTATATATGTGTGTATGCACGAGTACTGGTGTGTTACACATATTTTAAGGTGATAGGTGAATGGATTCTCCCACTTATATATGCTTAAGTCTTCATATTTCTATCCAATGTGGGACTATTTCCCCACTTAGTCATACTTGCTGTATTATTTCAACAATAATAGGAGTCGAGTAGCATCAACACAAGCTCATGAGATTTCAAAACGTACTTTATGGATGTCAATGAATGATTATTTCACAACAGTGAATGATGCTAATTATCTCTAGGGGTGTGCATGGTTACCATATTTTAAGAATCAATCTATTTTAATGGTTGTAGTTTTAAAACTAAACCATTTTTTATAATAACCAATTTAAAATTGCAAAATGGTTTCAATTCGGTTCAAAACCGGTTTAAACCGGTTTTCAATCAAAATTGATTTATAAGAAAATTGTATTTTTCTTAATTTGAAGAGACGAAAAAAATTCAGGTTAATGAAGGGAACAAGATGCAAAGGCATGTGTCATTTTTATATTATTATATTCAAACACCAGCACAAATCGTTTTTCACAATTTTTTTGAAAAACAAAAAAGTAAAATTCAATTTAAGAGTAAAAATATTACACTTTAATCTATGATAAAGTTGCACCGGGACACTAAAACTAGAACCCAAAAAAACTAAAACAAAACATCCTAAAACCAAGACAAAATCTGCTTCAAAACAATTGCTACACTATAACAGTTAAACAAAAAAACACAGATTAACAATCGTTCATCACAATTAACTTAATAAGTTCTTCTTCCCTTAACTAATCACCACTCTAATTAACTAATTAATAATAAATAAAATAAAATATATAAACTAGTTTTCCATTTTCAATTTGAATATTATATAAATTGGTTTACACGAATTTGAATTTACTGTGCCTTAATAATATCTTATTCATTAATAATAATATCATATACATTTGGTTTTATGTATGACAACTGGTTATCAAAAATGGAAATCAGATTTTTGTTTTGATATCAAAATGGATCTGGAGCGGTTCACATCCAACACAAATTGAATTATAAAAATTGGTGTACTGAATTTTTAAAATTGATTCGTGTAAACCAATTTTTTTGCACAGCCCTAATTATCTCCCCCAACATGAATTACACATGGATTATAAGAAACAACCGAGTGTTTAAGTGATAATAATCTACTCATGTCTACGAGTTCAACTTAAAACGATTTTAAGCATTCAAGGGATTTCTTACAATAAGAAAGATCTGTTATGGACAATACAAATGCACCAGACCCTCAGCTGCGCTACACCCTGTTGTATCATTGTTCCCATGCTAGAACTTATTTGCTATAGGTTTTTATGCATTTGTATGTGTATGGCACTATGGTATAAATCTCTTGAAAAAGTTTCTCCCTAAACTTCAATATAGCATCAACACTACTATCATTTATTGGGGTGTTCAAAATTAAACTGACCCAATAGAAAATGCAAAACTGAACCGAATCAAATCAAAACTGTAAAAAATCACATTTGATTCAGATGTGTTTGAGTCATTTTCTAATAAAACTGTTCGGTTTAATTTGTGATTTGTATTTTGCAAACCGAACGAAACAAATATATATTTCTTTAATTTTTTTTTGGAGAAAATAACATGTATTATGTGTATATTTTATCATATTCTTTGTATGATATTTATTTTAATTTACAAATCATATAAAATGAAATATTATTCATTTATAAATACTATTTTCATAAAATATATTTTATTGTATTTTTTATATAATTTTTATTTAAGAATATAATCTTATGTATATCATTCTTTAAATTTAGATAAAATTATAATACACAATTTTATGTATTAAATTATAAATTTATTTTGACAATTATAATTTTTTATGGTAATGTATGAACAATTAAACACAAAATTATATTTTTCTCTATATGTGTATGGTTCAATTTTTTTTTTTTAAAAAACCGAATGAACCGAACGAATTCAAACCACATTAATTTAATTTGATTTGGTTCAGTTTTATTTTTAAAAGTCAACCGAACCAAACCAAACTATACATTTTTTTCTCTTGCGATTCAAGTAATTTTTCACATCAAACCGTTCAAACCACACCTCGAATGTCCCTACTATTATGTATACTTCTATATTGTTTTGAGGGTTATTGCTATTCATGATATACTACATAACTTGAAATACATGCCGACTGTTGGCATTATTAGTTAAGTTTTAAAACACATCACTCCTAGTGTGCCCAAGAAATCGTGTGACCGACAGAAGTTGCTGTTTTTCATCTCTAAAAGTTATCAACAAAAAAAATTGCTTACAAATCGAGGTTAGAAAGATTTCCAGAACTTGCAACACAAAAGATATATATGTTACCTATCTTCCGTGCCGTTGTATTAGAGTCCGCAACACTACTAAACCACTGTTGGTTTTTCTCTTTGATGGATTAAGAAAGCGTATAAAATATATCTCGAATAGACTTTTCATCCTCACACACTTTATATCTAAAAATATAGTGATTCTCATCCGAAATTTTTAACAACGTTGCATTTTAGTTCTTAGACCTTTAATCGCATTGTTATTTTTGTGTTAGGCATTATAAATTTATTAAATATTTGATACACTTTTGAGTCTTTTCTGTTTCAAAATTTAAGTATATTTTTAGGCTGAACCATGTTCATTGTCATCTCAGCAGTAATTTTCTTCTCTTCTGAATCTAAACAACTAACAATTGGATGATTGACTAATTTGCGACTCAATTCATGATTATGAATACCACAAATCATACTAAATGTCCAAACATTATTCTCCTTGTGGTATCCACGCAACTTACAAGGACATCCACGTTTTCTTGTTTCAGTTTCATCACATTTCAACTTTCAAATATGTTCTTTCTACTGACCACTTCTTTTGCATCCCATCGTAACGAATATCTGTCTTCTAATTACTATTCCAAAACCTAATTTCACGGCTTTCACATAGACCTTTTTAATAATATGATCATGTAACATAAACTCATGTTTAATGCTAATTTTTTCAATATCAACGTGTACAACACCAGGTTGCGAATCTTCCGCAAATCATCCTCTGATGCATTGGCATGATCGACAACATCAGGGTGTAATATACCTATAACCAATATAAAATATGATAATTCATACAATCATTCAAAACGTATGAATGTTACAGGCTCTATATATTACTATCTTGACGATTCTCATAATAATCACAAAAAAAACCAGATTATGATTAAATGATACTCTCTCTGGTCTCATATATAAACAACTTTACAAAAAAACTCACATTTTAAGAAAAATGTTTAAATGTATTTAATTCTTACATTTTTTCTAATTTTACCCCTACTTTTTATCTTGAAAATCGTTAAAAACATAAAAATATGAAGAAAAAAAACATGATTATATTTGAAATAATGACATTGAATATAATAATTAGATGTGCATTACTTATAATTTAATACGGTTATGATATTTCTAATATTGAAATATAGTTGAATTGTATTATCAAATAAAATTATTGAATAAGAAGGGGAGACATTTTGAGAAAGTTTAAAAAAATATGTTACACAACTTGAGTAAAAAGTCTTATTACAAAAACGTGATGCTCTGAATGATACAATTCAAACTAATTAACTTTTTGTTCTGATATTATAATCCGAATATATAAAATAATTATAGTCAATTAATATTCCAAATAAACAACATAATGTGTTGTATTGAGGGTGCATCCGAATTGTATTATTTAGATAGGGCGAGAGAATGATGTGTTGTATTGAAAATCCGAATTGAATTATTCAGATGAGCCGAAAGAATGATGTTATATATTGAAAATGTGTTTGGATTGTATTATTCGAACAAGGAAAGAGAGTGATGTGTTGTATTGAGAGTAACTTTCAATTGTATTATCCAAACGAGTCGAGAGAGTGATGTATTGTATTGAGAGTGCGTCGATACGAGAATATTTTTGAAAATTCATAAGATTTTAGAAAACAATAATGATAAACATCCAAATTAGTAGTAGTATATGTTTTTTTTTAATGGGCAATTTTTTCTAAAATTATGTCTATGGGTATATAGACTTATCAACTCATGTTCTTGTATTCAGTAATTAACACATGAGAGAAATAATAAAGTAATTAGTACTAATGTTTTAATAAAAATGATATTTTTTTACAATATTACCTTTATTCCTATGAGTCAACATATGCTTTTCTTTGTCACCCTTAAACAAGTAGAAAGACTCTTTATTAGTACTTTTATTTGTTTTATCTTCTCATGTCAAATCACAATTCATGGGAGCGTATAAGTTAAGAATTTTATTAAAAGCAAAATATATACTAAGGGAAACGTGCACGTAACTCTCTAAAGCCACAGGCAACATCAGTGTTGGTGTAAATGTTTAAACTTTAAAGGTTTGGTGATTCAACAAACAGTCAGAAAGCAACAGATGCATTAAATAAAGCAGATAAACCAATCTGCTACCAAAATCACAAATCATTCCAACCCATAAAGCATTGATCAGATACAATGTCTTTCTGAAAATGTCATTACACCTGAATGCAACTAACTTAACCAAACTACTAATTGGTGTTGCCCAACACCAAATACACCCTAAGCATGTATGGTGAATTACATTAGTAGAATAAGTGATTACAGAACATCATTTGGATACATGAATAATGAATTATATCCATGCAATAAACAAATCAATTTGTACAGAATATATATAAAGAAAACCTTGGTCTCTAAACACTATCTCTGTCTTCATGTATTTATCTCATCCTTCTGTATGTTTTCCACTTTTCTTCTTTACATAGTAATTTCAGTTTCTAATCCTTTTGAACTTTCGCGTTGGTATATATGACTGTATGCAGATGCTCAAAAACTAAAGCTTGATGAATGACATCTTGCTCTTTATCGGTCATTTTATCTGAGATTGCAGAGAAGATCAGCAATAGAACCTGTTTTAAAGAAAGGAAAATTGACCTGAATTAAATTCAAAACAACATCATAGGATTAAACTCGTCAAAGCGACACAGTGAAGATAATGCAACAAACCTATATCGATAACCAAGAAGTAGCTTATTCCCTGCTAGATTTTGCCCAAAAAAAGCCCTTCTTTCGGGTTGGGTGATTATCTAACATGGATTTTGAACCCTTTGAGCCAAATGAAAAGTGTCTACTCAGAAAAGGTTTTCCAGAAGAGCTTCTCTTGCTAGAACTAGAGTCCATTCTAGGACTTTTACTTTGATGCTTTTTATCTTTAAAATGATCAAATACAACAGAACCGTCATCGATATCATTATCCACAATTTGGTTCCTTGATTTCTTATTTCGAGCTTTTGAATCCATTTCAGCTTTCAAAGTTTTTTCAAATAATTTACGAGCTTGTTTCTCGCCAAAAGTGCAAACGGGGCAAGCTGGATCGTACTTGTTGATTTCAGGTGTCATACTCTCTAAACATTCAGCATGATAGACATGTCCACAAATAAGAACAGAAACTACACAGAGGTCATTATTTACAATGATCTTTTGAGAGCTCCAAGAAGACTTTTCAGTTAAAAGATTTGAGCAAACACCACATGTTTGCGAATCTACTGGAGAAGTTGAAAACCGATTACTGAATCTAGCCAACCTTTCACAATTAAAACCAAATGACTCGCTATTAAATGACCATTTTTCCATGGGAGAATTGCCCGTCAGCTCAGTAAAGCCAGGCCTAGAGCAATAATCTGAAGATCCACCACCAGAGTGCATACCGTATTCATTGCTCCATGAAGGAAACACTGGCCTTTCTTCAGATACATCAAAATTGCTAGGTGACTTAAATCCCATGATTCGGCTATCAGAAACCTGTCGTGATAACTGGTGTCCTGTGGAATGGGAGGGCTCCCTTAATGGTGTTGAGCTCGATGAAGGTGGACGGCTTTGAGATGGCAGAGGAGATATTGACAACGAAGTAGAAGACAATGTGGGTGAAGTTTTTGTAGGAAATGGACATGATACTGCCGATAACTCTTCCAACTCATTCACCTATAGAGAGATTCATAAGAAGAAAATGCGCCCAAGAAATCAGACATAAACTACTGACAGAAAACTTAAAACAACACCAAATTCCTTCTCAGTTATAATCTTACCTGTTCCATTCTCCCATCCATGGAAACATTCCTTGGAATAGATTGATCTGACATAAACATGACCAACAATGTCAAAACCATGAATCAATCAATATAGTGAATAACAATGTCTCAATTAAAACAAAGATGGTCTATAATATTTTTCAAGACCCAGATTAGCATCTGGCAAGATAGGAGACATACACTATAAAAGAAGCCACTTTAAGATACACAGTAATTACTGTCCCACAGACAAAGATATACATTGATCAGAAAAGTTTTTTTTGTTGACTTTTAAGAAGGCCATAACACAGACTATTAATCCAAGATTTGGTGTTTCCATAATCTTCAAGTCTACCTCTCTGGACCGAAAGGAAATGTTGGCGGAACAGGTCTCAAGAACAGTTAGATAATAAGCCTATTTTTCTCAATTGGTGGGCATTTATAGGAAACTTACAGAATAATTTTCATTCGTATTTGAGAGGGAAGGTGATTTGTCCAAACAATCCATGAAAATATTGTTTTTCAATGCAAAGATAGAATACACAACAATGTTTCCAAATTCAATAGTATACCACAATGACCATTTTCATAGCTTCTATGTAGCTGTGTGGTTATGTCTACATTCTATTTCATAGAATCATAGGTTTCTGACTCATTTCATGATTCATGTCAAATAACAAATAGTAAAAGAAAGAAAATTAGTACTAACATAAACCCACTTCCAAAAGTGCAACCAAAGCAGGTGTATTATGGACATTGGACTGTTAAAATCAAAGAGTAGATTCAATGAAAATTACCAGAAAATGATTTTGTGTGTCTAGCAGCTACTTCAGAGCTCGGAGACTTCATCCACGTATTCCTTTGATCATTCTGCGACGGGCTTCCATCCTCAGATACATGTGATCCATTTTTATTCTCCAACCTATCATTTCCACTGACACCATCCGAAAACCAGTTTATACTAGTATCCTCTCCGGCTACACGGCCTCGATGATCCCACCTCAAGCTCCACGTCGGCGAACAACGAGCATTCCTATGCCAGATTTCACTAGTTGGCCCACTTTGAATAGTTTTATCTCTAGCTGCAACACAACAAGCAGCACCCATTCTGATAAAAGTAACAACAGTATTTAGCTTCTTATGTTAACACAGCCAACAGAAACACCCATTCACCACTGAACACACTGATTTCTCCCTGGAACAGATGGAAAAAAAACATGTAATCAATTACGATAATCTATAAGCTAAAATACCTAAAATAACTTTTTTTCAAAATCGATTAAAAACGAGTTCTGAAATTAAAGTATGATCCAATCCAGAAAATCAACATCTCAATTAAAACAGAAAGTAATAAAATTCAACACAAATTATTTCAAAAGGATCAGAAATCAATGCGGAAAACCGGAATTCATAGTCAAAAACATTGGATTTCCGTAACAAAAATAGTGAATCATTCAAAATTGAAATTAAAAAGTAAAAATCAATAAATCAATAAATACAGTTATGAATAGGAACTTGAATCTTCTTCCAAATAGAGAAATAAAGAGAGTATTGATAGGAATGAGTGATACATGATAGAAGCATAACTTACCTCAGACGAAAATAGGGAAAAGAGAGCTTGGTTACTTCAGTTGTTGTAAAGGAATTTTTAGAGAGAGAAAGAGAGTGTTTTAGAGAGAGAGAGTGGAGAGGAGGGAAATAAGAGAGATAAAAGAGAAGGAAGAAAATATGAGCGGCGCCGTTTATTTTGACGCTGTTAGAGGGACTCTCTCTTTCTCTCACGTGTTAGTCATGGTTGCCGTCGTGTGTGTAACGGCGTTTTGTGGATACGTGGTTTTATGGGTATTTTAACTTGTAAAAGAATGCCACGTCAGATTAAACTGGGAAATTTACCTTCTTTAGTTTTACTTTGTTAATTAATGATATCATAAATACGAAATTAATTACTGTATTATTCTGGTGCCCACATGTTATAAAATAAAAAGTTGGGAAATGTAGAAATATTATATTCAGGAAATTCAATGTTTATTTTGAAATAATTTTTTTCTTAATTTTTTTTGCGTGGTTAGTATTCTATCAAAATAGAACATATCCTTCCTAATTTTTGTTATAATTTTTCTATAAATATCTCTTTAAAACTTTATTTGAGAGTTTTGATAAGAAGGAAATGGAGGATTTTGTAAAATCAGAAGGATTAGGTGAAAATAATAGAAAGATTTATTTGGAAGAATTTTATAAGTTTTGTATTTTTTTATAATATCAAAAATCATTTAATTTGTGGAAATTAGAATTTATATTGAAAGAATTTTGAAAGTTTTACATAAATTTTTTAAATATCTTTTATGTTGTTATAATATTCTGAAAATTAAAAATATAATAATAAATACTATTTTATAATTTTATAAAAAAAAAATTTAAATGTCAAATAATTTTCTACATCTTTTAATTTATTTTTAGAAATCTTTCTCTCTTTCCAAGCTCGCAAATATAGTCTAATAGTTGTTACAATGAATTTATATAAATATTTTTTATGAGAAATGCTAAACAGTACTTTCAGGATATTTTTTAAGACTTTAAAATAGTAAAAACAATTTGAAAATTTGTATATTTAATATTTTAAAAATTAAAATAGTTAAATTTTCTATAAAATATTTTTTTTAAATGATTAAAGAGTATCCTGAAAATACTGATTAACAAAATCTATATTTTATTATTTTTACATGATTACTCTTATAATTAGACGACAAATGTTTTTAGATATCAAATATGGGATAGAAAAACCGTCTTAGATATACTTTGAAGTATTTAGAGTTTATGAAATTGTTTAACACATTTTTATTATATTGTTCATAAATTCTACTTATAAGATCAACAAATACAAATCAATTTTATTTAAATTTGTACTTTGTTTATAAATGATTCTATATTTGATTGAATTTATTTTTATAAGTTATGAAAGAAAAAGGAAAATGTTATTTGAACTTTAAAGACTTATTGTGGTACGACATTGATAGATTTTGATGTTTTTTTTTTCTTCCAATTTCTTTTATTTTACTGTATCGGTATTATATAACATAAATTAAGAAATTGAATCAATTCGACACCCGGTTCAACTCGACTTGTTTATACAAAAAGAATAATGAATTGGTCAGTTTTAATCAAATAGTTCAAATTTATCCACTAAGTTGGATGCAAAAGTCTAAAGACTAAAGTACACAAAATATCAAACCAAAGGAAATTTAGGATAACATAACTGTTGAAAGTAATTCCTTGTGTCGAAGCAGTTTGCTCGACAGAGACAAGGGAGTGTCGAAGTAGGTGTGTCGAAAATGCTACATACAAATTTGATTTGATTTTGATTTAGATAGATTTGATTTAGATCTAAAATAGATAGATTTGATTTAGTAGCAAAATATGTATTTTGGGCTTTTATAGTTTTGGGCTTTGACTTAGGAGCAAGCTAACCTAAATCTATAAATAGAGAGAGTAACCCTTGATTTTGTATTTTAAGTCAATTCATTGTAATCACAGAATTTGCAGTTGCAAGTGATTAATAAAGTTTTCTATAGTTTGTGGGCAGAGAGAAACTCTGCAGAAAATAATTGTCTTTTTTCTTTTCTTTTATTTTCTTTTCTTTTCTTTTCTCATAATTCATTGTCATTGTGTGGTGATATCAATCTTGTTCATCAAGATTGGTAGAAATTCATCATAGGTATGTGGTAGATTTCCAACATCTGGTATCAAG